CAGCAAGGTTAAGCGTCAGCGGTGTGCAATCTGCAGGATCTGAAGATAGGGCGTTAGTGGATGAGAGTTCGAAAGGGCTTCGATTTTAGTTAGTGTGGTGTACAGTTTATCAAAATTCGAATTACAATTTCCCAGCACTCGCTTGACGATGTACCTTGTTGACTACACTCGCCTCCCAGAAGGTACCGAAGTGCGGGATGTACGCAGGGATAAAATGAAATTGAATTCCATCATTTGCTGCACTTTCACCCAAGGACAAACCATTTTCCTTTACAAATAAGAAGGGTCATTGCACGCACCGACAAATGAGGCACCGTTGTCGGAATAAACATCAACGGGCTTATGTACCTCCTCAAGCAATAATCAGTCGATGCAACGCTAGTAAGTTACCCTCACTAGTTAAATCGCCAACGAAATCCAAATGAATGGTTACATACACCTTCACTAGCCTGCATCCGCGATCCCGACGACTAGCACACAATAATAGGCCCGGCACAAACAACGCCCGCGCTCTCAAAGGGATAACCTGGACGAAGTCGTGTTCATGGTAAGTTGCCCAGTATAGGACTAACTACCTGTCCCTTCATACGGCGACATGGAACACACTTATGAGTACAAGTCTTCGCCAAGTTGCGACCTTCTCGGCCAGTATGATTCCCTTATGGGAGCTAATAGCAACTGTGGGCCAGCGTGCATCAAACGTCTATGCTCGAAATTAAATAATAATTTTGTAAACTGATGAGTGGACTGTAATAAGATAAGGTGTTTTTATTAACATGAGACAAAAAAAAATGTATTGTTCTTATTTGGTTTAATTAATCTTAGTATATCGTTTAAGAAACAAACAAGACACGAATAATTAGAATGACGATTAAAATTAATGAAAGCAACTCTTTTCCTATCATTGATAACAAATCGCGTTCAGTGTGCCTAGCCGAGGACCTGCTCATATTGTTAGGAAACCCTAAACCATCGGAAGAGACATACCGACCCAGAGCAAGTAACTTGTCGGGCTCGTGAGGTGTAATACCTAAGTTAACCGAAGCAGGCAAGTCCCGCGAGACTAATGATTGGCAACAGTGTGTTGCTTTCTTGAAAGAATCTCCCAAAATTGAAGATTCTTTCTCACATAATCTTTGTTCTGGCAAATCAAATGAACTAACATATTTATGATCATGGGAAACATCTTTACGAAAATTACATTTTAAATAATTAGTAAGAATTGGACCGGAAACTATCCATCCTAAATGGGTTTTATATAATATTGGCTTTCCATTACCTAATTCTAATTTTTGTGATCCTAATAACTTCCAAAACAGATCAGCGCCGATTAATAAATCAACATCAGCGGGTTCATAAAACTTAGGATCAGCTAAAGTGATATTCGAAGGTATATCGAAATTATTAATATTTATTTCACGGCACGGTACCTCACTCGTGATAAATGGCAAAACCAAACAATGAAGGTTGTAATTAAAACGGTTCCAGTGACGTCATATCAACTCGACATGTTTTACCTACGTGCGAAGTAACATTATTTATGCCAAGTATAGATTTGTTTACCTGGCTCGTGAATAAGTTTAGTTTTTTACATAACCGTTCCGTTATAAATGACGACGTGCTACCGCTGTCTAGAACCGAGCGAACAACATGCACACAGCCAGTATGATCCCGTAGTTTGATCAATGCGGTCGATAGCAAAACATCATGCTGCGTATGACCTTGAGAGGATGCAATGTGTGCTGACAACGTAACGTTATTCGTGTCTGTGGTAGCAGACGGTACGGATGATGAAGACAAGTTATTGTTAGACGAATTACCACTATGTGTATTCGCAATAATGTTATCTTTAGAATTTATGTGAATTAGTGTGTTGTGCCTACGCTTACATAGTTTACAACCGGCTTTTTTACATTTGTTAGCGAAGTGACCTGACCGAAAACAATTAAAACAAATCTTATAAGTAGGTAGAAGTTTAATACGAGCATCAACGCTTAATGCGAGAAACTGTGGACAATTATTTAATGTGTGATTACTGTTACATTTAGGACAAACTTGAGGAGCTATTTCGATGCTGGAACTATTATGAGGTTGATTAACCAACATCGACTTGATCTTAGGGTTGGATCTACCTGCCGTTTGCGAATTATTATTATTAGTTTGAAGGCGTTCTAAATTCTCGATCAAATCGGCTCGAGTGCGTAGGAAATGCATGAACATATCGAACGTAATCGAACTTTCTTTGTCAATCCTACCCTTAAACTCCTCCCATTCACGATAGGTCCTATGATCAATTTTTTGAGTGACGTGGTATATCAAAAATGTGTCCCAGTGCTTTACAGGCTCACCTAACGACTCTAATGCTCGCAAGTCCTTATTTAATTGATCGATTAAACCTTTGAGAGCAACAGACGATTCCTTTGTAACCGCATCAATGTGATACAAGGTAGACATATGATTTTGCGCTAATAATCGTTTGTTGTCAAATCGATCAAGTAACAAACTCCATGCCACATAGTAATTGCTCGAAGAAAACTCAATTGACTTGATGATGACGGCAGCAGGTCCCTCAAGAGAGGCTCTTAGGTAGTGGAATTTGTTAACCTCATCAATTTCGTCGTTACTGTGAATTAGACTAGTGAAGGTATCACGAAATTCCAACCAATTGCAATATGAACCGCTAAACTTTGGTAATTGTATCGTTGGTAATTTTACCGGTTTGTGTATGCTAGCAAGTGTACTTTTACAGCTTTCCATCGACTTATCATCTTTGTTATTGTCGTTGAGAATGGTTTGCGCTCTGGACAACGCTTTGTAATAAAGTGATTCGAACTCGGTACGCTCGAAATTCTGTACCTTAAGATCGTCGGCGATACATTCCAGACGCAACTGCACCTCATCATATTGTTCGTACAATGACTCCATCTTACCCATGCGCAACTGCAACTCGGACACATCACAACTACTTAATAATAATTTGTCCTTGAGTGAGCCCAGGAAGGTGACGAAAGCAGTCAAGCGACCCTTAAAGCTGCCGCGCTTTTTAATTAAATCCCTTTCCTCGGACATACTGGGAGATGAGTATCGTCAACCTGGAATTGATACAGGAATACAATTAACTTAGAAAACAATTATGATTTTAAGACAGACCTAACTGTGTTTTATACACTGCCCAAATGCTTTTATAAAGCGACACAGAACCTACAAATTAATAACAATTATATAAAGCTAAATAAGTAAATTAATCAATATTGTATAATTTCTCGTAAAACTACCTACAATTTATAATGTTGTAAACTTTTATACAAACTAAATAAATAAGCACAATTAATTCAATTAAAATACTAATTCCTATTTATTACATTAATGATTCTAAATAACTAATAACTGGTAATTTTTTACAGTGACTTGCACTAATATCTAACACTCAAATTATTTGTATTATGTCAAGATACCTGCTAATAATTATATCTACTAAGTAGTTATAAAATTATGTGAAATAGTTACAGCTTTGATTAAATTAAATTTAAATAATGTAGCAATTAACTAACTATACTGCAGTGAGTATAATTTAAACTTAAGATTTACTGTTAAAAATACTAATCACAATGTAACAGAATATCTAATGATTCTAATGATCAAACAAATACAATAAGTAGTTAAATAAATATTACTGACCTTAAATATAATTTACTTATATACTACCTGAGTGTTGGGTGATGATATTAGTTATTTAAATACTATACACCGCTAAAACCACTTGTTCGAACTCAATCCAATCCACCGGCAAATCTCCACGTCACGGTGGAAAATTTCAGTACTTGATTCCTCTTCAAATAAAATCGCTGATCTCCTCTTTAGTTAGGGTCATCAGGCTCGATACGGACCATGTACGGAACCAGGGTTGATGTGGATGGACTTAGGAAAAATATACTCGAACACGGTTTTAAATAATTAAACTTTAATGGGTGCTAACTACAAGAGTTAAGTATTGCAAGTGGGGTAATTTCAGCATTTTTCACAATTTATACTTTTCATAAACGTAAGTTGATGCTCTGAAAAAACTTGTTGTAGTTACTGTAAACCATTCAGGAGTTCCCTGAACTGTCCATCGTTCTCATCATCAGACCCTTAATGACAGTCACAACCAATCTTGGTGCAAAGAACTCACCAATACGAATCATTCAAGCCCAAACACAAGGCAACTACTCCAAATAGTCAAGGAGACCCCTTGACTGTCTTCCGGCTCCATCATCACAATTTACTCCATAACTTCATTGTCATCCATAAAGGTGCAAAGTTTTATCGATATAAATGAATTAAGTCCAAACACGAGGTAGTTACTGTAAACCGTTCAGGAGTTCCCTGAACTGTCCATCGTTCTCATCATCAGACTCTGAATGACGGTCACAACCAATCTTGGTGCAAAGTGCTCACCAATACGAATCATTCAAGCCCAAACACAAGGCAACTACTCCAAATAGTCAAGGAGATCCCTCGACTGTCTTCCGGCTCCATCATCAGGTCATCAGGTCGAGTTTGAACATCGACATGTTGTAGCATTGTCAAAAGCCTACTAAAACTACGTGCAAAAACACCACTCGCCCCTACAATTTTTGAAAGTTCCTCTCGATTTCTCTGGTCTTCCATCATCAGATCCTGATTTCCTTATCATGGGATCATTCTGAGACTGTCTCCTTTCCAACAAAAAAAGAATTATCAAAATCAGTTCATAAATGACGGAGATATCGGCGAACAAACGTAAAAAAAAGCATATATGTATACGGTCGAATTGAGAACCATCCTCCTTTTTGGAAGTCGGTTAAAAACAGCGCTGTATTTTAGATAATTCAATTGTAGACCAAATTTTTGATTTTTGTTCGGGGGTGTTGATGTTTTTCCCTCCTCAAACAAAATATGTATTAGTCACATTTCTTCCAAGCAAAGCCGGGTCTATAACTAGTTTTCACATATAAAGTGCATAAGCAAAGCGTCTTACGAACGAAATAACAATACACAAAAATATGGAACGAACTCACTGAAGCTAAGTACCTCCTTTCTGTTGAGTGGTCGGTTTTATAGATACCTAGCTATTGTATGAAGTAGGGGACTTCCATCAACATTTTGCTAATAAGTATGTAATACGAGTACATTAAATGGTTTAGTTCTACGACAAGAATAGAAATAATATATCCTCATATTAGTGAATAATGATCCTTTAATAAATTTATTTTGCTACAGAAAGTTAAAATTTAAATAGATACATTTATTTATTTAACATAACAACAATATCACCATACAGTATGATCAGCAGCGGGCAGCAGATCCGGCACCTCAGCATCTGTAACATACCACCTCCTGTACTGCGCTAGAACTCCGGCACCGCAGATCCTAAGAGGGCGCTAGTACTTACTGCGGCACCGCAGTTTCTTAGAGGACGCTAGTACTGCGGCACCGCAGTATCTAAGAGGACGCTAGTACTGCGGTACCGCAGTTTCTTAGAGGACGCTAGTACTGCGGCACCGCAGTTTCATAGAGGACGCTAGTACTGCGGTACCGCAGTTTCTTAGAGGACGCTAGTACTGCGGCACCGCAATATCTAAGAGGACGCTAGTACTGCGGTACCGCAGTTTCTTAGAGGACGCTAGTACTGCGGTACCGCAGTTTCTTAGAGGACGCTAGTACTCCGGCACCGCAGTATCTAAGAGGACGCTAGTACTGCGGCACCGTTAAAAGATTCAACATACTGAAGTGTGAGTTACCATAATGCCTGATTAGCCAGATGAAGTTGGAAGCTGAACAGGTCTGCCCTAAAGTTCTACACTAAACCTATTTCTTGCTTTTACTGGTCTCATAATTAATACAACTATAGACATAGTAGAATAACCCAGTTATGAATCCGGAGTAAGGAGCTGTTTCACATTTATGAAGTCAAAAGGGGCGTTCAGAAACTTAAAGAATAAAATATGAATTCAGTGGTACTATACCGGGGAGGCGGAGGATGCAGCGGCGGAGGTCCGAAGGCGTGAGGGGGGTAGGCGCCCGGCGGCGGCAGGCCCGGTCCGTGCGGGCCGTGGGGGCCGTGCGGGCCGTGCGGGCCGGGAGGGCCGGGGGGACCCGGCGGGCCGGGCTGTCCGTGGGGGCCGTGCCCGAACGGCTTCAGGGGGTCGCGCATAAGCGAGTGATAGAGGTTGAGCGCGTCCACCAGCTCGGCGCTGAGCTGCGTGAGGCGCGCGTGGCGGCGGTCGGCGCGCTCGAGCGCGGCGTCGACCAGCGCGCCCATGGCGTGCGCCCGCGCCTCCAGCCGCGCCAGCGCCGCCTCGCCCGCGCCCGCCTCGCGCGGGTCGGCCTCGTGCAGCGCGCTCAGCGCCGCGTCCATCGTGGCCTCGTCGATGCACACGGGCGCCTCGTCGCGCGCCTCCGCGCCCGCCCCGCCCGCGCCCGCCGCGCCCGTCGCGCCCCCGCCCGGCGACGCGGCGCGCGGTACTTCCGCCAGGTCGCCCGTTACGAAATTGGCAGGAAACAAGCCCTCGCCTCGCTCGTTGTAACCTTTCCACCAGTTGGGGTCGCTAGAGTCGGTTACGTGCACTGTGAAGTAAAAATTGTGTCGTCAACACCACGACGACGAATTAACGACGCGCTCGGTAGTTCACTAGGTGCTATCCGACTGCGAACTATTGTTATTTTAAGTTGCATGGGCCATAAGTTACTTAAAATGGACCAGAATAAATATTCCCCATCTTTGGTCTTGTTGCGAAAGTGCGAAAAGAAAGTTACAACCTAAATGTTCGTCTCCAAGCAAGCCTGGCTCCATCGTCGGCTGTGACATTCTTCATCTCGTCACCATCGAGTGAGAGAAGCCAAACTTCACCCTATACATTACCTATAAGACAAAGGACACACACCTATCTCGCCAGCTAAGAATGTCAACTCATTATCTTCGGCAGCCTCAAAGTCGTAGAGCGCGCGAACCTTGCGCGGCGTAGCGGCGTCGGGCGCGTCGACGCGCGGGTAGAGCGGCGCGGCGGACGGCGCGGCCGAGCCGGGCGCGTCCCGCAGCGACAGCGCGATGGCGCGCGCCAGTTCCTCCTGCTCGCGCTGCGCGGCGGCGGCGGCCGCGGCGTCGCTGGCGGCGGCGGGCCGCGGCGCCTCGCCCGCCTCGGCGCGCAGCTTGGCGTGCAGGGACGGGATGAGGTCGAGCTGGGGGTCGTCGCGGAACTCTCCCTCGGCCCACTTGCGCAGCAGCGCGCGCATGCGTTGCGCCACGGCGGGCTGCGCGCGGGCCAGCAGACGGCGGTACTCGGTCTCGAAGTCGCGCGAGGCCACCTCGAGGTGGAAGGCGCGGCCGCAGTTGGCGACGCAGGCGTCGAGCAGCGTGGCGGCGTGTACCTGTACGTGGGGGTCGGGGTGCGCCAGACGCCTCATGACGGCGCGCAGACACTCCTTGGCGCTCTGGGCGGAGGACCCGGCGCGGTCACAGATCTCCATGATCAGTCCCCATTCCTCGCTCGTATTGTTTTCGCTCGTAGCTCGTTCTGCAATGCAAAGCGCAATAAGGTATCTATGAAATCAAAATCAAATTCTTTATTTCAAGTAGACCACAACAGGCACTTTTGAACGTCAAGCAAAAAAGATATCATAAGGTTTAACTATATGTGTCAGTCTGTCCGTCTATCATCTAGTGAAGCTATTTGCTCGTTCCAAAGTGAAGATTCCTATGGAGAAGAACGAGCAACAAACTCCATGGTTACTCTTTTTCAGTCACTTTTCACAATGCATTGTTACATAATTTAGATAGTTCTATTATGTGAGAACAGTGTAACACAAATGTTAAACGAAAGGATCCGAAAAGGAAATGAACCTCAGGGACAGCAACTTTAGACAGTCTCGAGTTGACCGGTTCCAATAGGCGGCGTCTGTTCACGAACATGACACGTACACCAGCACCGCCCAACTCAACCATATTATAGGGAATCGAGCGAACCAGTGCCCGTGCCACCGGCAATGAGACTCCTGAGTGAGCATGACAACTCCCAACTGACACAATATACTATAAGTCTAACTGAATTATAATAAGTTACGGGGCTCTCACATTTACAAAAATCCAGTTTATCAACAATTAACAACATGGTGAATAATTAAATAATTGAGATCAAAATTCCTCTTAACCTTAACAATTTTTATCCTGTGCAGTCGAACCAGCCACCCTCCAAGCATTTTTATCTTCTATATAATCATTTAGTTTGTAGTATGCTTTCCTATTTTTTTTAAATATTATTAGTTTAGTAATTTACTTATGTGGGAAGCATTGGTACATATAAATCATGTCTAAACTTGTTTTGTACTTGCGATATTTATAAGACAATGAGCTAATTACATTTCCTAGCACTAAAAATGAATACTCAGTGCTCTTTCTTCTCTCTTCTGTGGTGTCCTTATTACACCCTAACAGCTTAAATGTAAACTAAAATTTTTACATCTTGGAATGCAATAATGATTTTCGATGTGTTGCTGATTAAATAAAATAGATATACATGATTGCACTTGTACCGAAAATGGAATGAGATTGAGTTAATAGATTTTTTAATGTCATAAATAGCAAAATTATGGAACTCGTCATGAGTCTCATGAGAGATCATTTTGCTTTGCTTATGTGCTTATGTTTGGCTATATGCTTGGTGAAGCTTGTAAAATTTCTGTTACAAATGAATGTCTAAACATTATTAACAACACAAGAGCTAACTCTATAAAAACATTCAACTTCAGTATCAACATTAGCAGTTGAGTATTCAAACAATGAATTCCATGACATTAAAGGTGATTCAATATCAATTCCAATTATACCAGTAAACAGAAATTAATAGATATTTTAGTTTAGTAAGTTTAGTTTTAGAGAATGTCATCAGTGTGATAATGTTAACGAGAAGATGTGTGTGTGCTAGACAAACATTATTGCAAACCATCCAAAGAATTACAATGTACTTACAAGTTTATGCAGAACATTTCTACATAATGCATAGGTACTCCACAATAGATATTCTAATAGAGCAGGTAAGAAGCAAACCATCTTATTTAAAAAAAAAACATGTGAAGGTATATACTTAATAGATGTATGTACCATAATCACACACAGAACATACACTAAATCTAAGGTATAGATACCCCACCTCGTGCGTTGTACCTATAAGGACACTGATCCAATTTTAGAATTTGAGATCTTAAAACATACAACTAAAATTCCAATACCATTAACCCATCTTATTGTTACAATATCCTTGCTACATTTGCCTATTTAATTGCATTTAAATGAAATGTTAACGCTAATGAAATGTCACAAAACAAAGGATATGTATGAAACTCCTTATCACGATGAAAACTTACCAACGTCTTGATCAAATGGTGAAGAATTGCCAAAAATCCCCATGGTTATAAATCGAAATTATCCATTAAAAAATCACAATAACAAAATCTTTCCAAAACGTATGTATGATATCACAATGAGCAATATAATATTTATTATCAATCAACAATCACTAGTCACCAACAACGTCATGAAAAACAACTTTGTCTTGTCTTGTCAATAAAAATAAAACCCAATGTCATTGTCACCTCGATTTTTTTGACATGGCAATTAAAGTACTTGTAAAGGCAGAAAAACATTCAGATAGCAACACCAACCAAAAAAATCAAATTTTCAGTCTTATTAAAATTAAAAAGATATAAAGAATCGTTGGAAAATTAATGATTTTTTTCATAAACTTGCAGAATGAAGAGCGGATGGTACTTAAATAACATAAGATCTTAGGGTGTTTTATGTTATTAAAACCTTAGTAAATATTATCTATGGTATGGTATTAGTATTGTCTATGGTCGATGATTAAAGCCGGACGATGTGTGTAGTACATAACAAGTTTATTAATTTATTGGTTTTATTTACTAATTAACTGCCGACGGAAAACACAAAGATCTTATATAGACAACAATATTGTGCACTATGAAATTCTTGTCAACGTACAATGAATTTTAAAAGTCGTTTATCTTTAACCATTGACATAGGAAATATGTGGACTTGAAATACCTACGAAAAAAAGGTGCCTACCTACAATCCAAAATTTCGCATAAGATGGCTGCCGTTGCTAGGGTTGTGCCGACTAAGTATTTAACGAGTATCGATACAATTTGAGTATAAGTTCTACGTAAGTATAGTTTTAGGGATTAGCCAGCTGATTAACGGTATTTTTTATGGGAAATCATCTAATGTCATCTCCGGCCCTTTTCGTGACAGACCGTTACTGACTAAAATCAACTCCTGTTCCTACTTTGCCGTCGGCCTAGCTAGAGCCCGTAACCCGGGGTTACCTAGGTCTCTTGATTGGCTAATGATTTTCTCAAGTCGAATGTGTATTCTTATAATTCTACGTAAAGCGTCTTTTAAAAAAATAGGACTGTGTTTATGAACAGCGTTTAATGGAATTGTGAAATAGAAAAAGATAGTGTTTGTTAAATGTTTATCCGCCGAAATTGGGGCCCCTTAATTGCGTATGTGCAAAATCCTGTGGGAATCTGTGAAGTGCTCGCGCACAATTTCGGCGCGTCTGATTAAGCGATGATATCTTCGAAACTACGTTAGCACAAAATAGATTAGTAGTGAAGTCAATCTTATTGTACCTATGTATCTCACTTTTATTATTACGCTTGGTGGTCGCACTAGGATCGCCGCCAACGCCGCTCTGTCAATTGCGCCCGGATAATTATAAAACATGATAATTTGAACTTCTACTTATGTAACTAAAACCAATACCAAAATACTGACGTCTTACTTTAGCCTTACTGTATCTACTCATAATATAATGTGTTGAATTAAGGCTGTTTTACAAAACTTAAACAGGATGTTGGGTCAGTTAGAATTAAATAAGTAAAGTGTACTTGTAAAGTGTAACTAAATAGGTAGTTATTTGCGCAAGTACTGTATAGCGTTGCAATGTCACAATACTTTCTATTGCCTATACGCTTTTTCTTCTTTTTCATCTAAAATATTGTTTCTATTAGAAATAATATTTTAGACCGTGCCAATAACTTGTATTTTCATGATAATTTCATAACTCCGTAAATGGTCCAAAATGATTTGACTAGACACTGTTAAACAACATAGTTCAATTTTATCGGAGCGGCAATATGGGTTTAGAACTTTAGACCGAGACTATCAACAGCTGACGCGGTATACTACGTGACTGACTATATAACGCAAGAACTTGACAAGGGTAACCACACTTTGGGAGTTTTTCTGGACCTCTGGTTTCTGACACAATTTCTGTTCCTGTGCTGTTGCGCAAGCTGGAGACTATTGGTATAAAAGGAACTCAGCTCAAACTTTTTCAAAGTTATTTAGAAGACCGCACTCAAGCGTAAGAATTGGTAAGGTCGTCAGCGATGATATAAAAACTACCTCTTACGGTGTGCCCCAGGGGAGCATATTGCATCTACGATGTTTTTAATTTACATAAATGATTTATGCAATCTCAATCTGGAACACGGTACGATTGTATCATACGCTGACGCCACCGCTTTACTATTTTCAGCTGACTCGGAAACTGATGTCTACAAGCTTGCGCAAAACGGTTTGAATAATGTAAATAATTGGCTCCGATGTAACTCACTGACATTAAACACAGATAAAACGCAATTCATCAAATTTTCAATACGAAAAGAAAAATCTAGTATTTTCTCACCATTGCATGCCCATTATTGTAACATTCCCAACCAATGCTTGTGCCCTATCATTAACCGGGCCACTCATGTTAAATACCTCGGCATTATATTGGACGAAACTCTCTATTTTAAACGGCATCTGGATGTATGAAATACTAGATAGACTGCGTAAGCTTATATTTATTTTCAAAAAGCTACGATATGTAGCTGATCCTAAAATAATCAGACCGGTTTACTTCGCCCTATGCCAATCAATATTGACCTACTGTATCACCTCTTGGGGTGGTACAGACAAGACTCCAGTAATTTATAATGAGCACTTGCTCATTTATAATGAGCTAGTACTCATTATGTTGTATACTGTATTTGAGCTCACTATATTGTATTTGTATTTGAGCACTAGCTCATTATAAATAACTGGCGAACTGTTACTTAAACAACATTCAACAACATTAAAGTATAGTTACTTAAACAACATTCAACCCTTCCCTACAATCCTGAATTAATTACTAGAAGAAGGAAAGATATCGTTTGCCCAGCAAAAAGTACAAAACATACTTTTATAACATTTTTTTTTCTATTCCTCGGTTCTTTCCTATACAACAAACTGAATGCGACCTCATCCTTTTACTACACAACAAACTAACAGTACATTTATTTACTAAATAACTGTAGCATAGTTTTTTTTTTTCTATTTTTTTTTTATACGGCAGGAGGGGACATCCTCTCAGGCCGGCGGCTAACGAACGCTGTGAATCGCTTGCTTTAATTGTCGTGAGCTTCCGATATTGTTGGTGGCAATGCCACAACCACTGAGGGACGCCTCCGGGCGTTTTCTCCCCAAAGGCCCTTCTCAGGGCCAACCCAAAGGCCCTTCTCAGGGCCAACCAAAAGGCCCTTCTCAGGGCCAAACTAAATCCCGGGATGCTTCGGCATCAGAGACCAGCCGCGCACCATCTGCGGCGAGTCTAGCACGTGGTAGTGACACTTTTCCGACAACGAGTCGATTTTGAGTGGCACGACTTACGGTTCCACACGCCAGTCAAGAAAGCGGGCCTTCCTTAGGCAGGACTCCAGAGGCTCTCCGGACCAAACGGAGAAGCCTGCGAAGCGGGCGGTGATTCAGGCTGACTTGGAAGAGAGGATCTCTTCCAACGAACAACGTGCGAGAACCACCAGAGCCAAGGCTGGCTACGGCGCCTCCAGCGTCCTCTACGCGGACCACTCCGTAGAGGAAATGGAGCGCATGGCTCTGGAGGATCAGCAGGAGATTCTGGAGGTGGCCTCCAAGTCCTCCAATTTGAAGGGGACCTTCCAGAAGGCCCTGAAATGCCGGGCAGCGAGCTTGCTCGGCATCGTCAAGGAGATGGCACAGCGCACCACCTCCGACGAAACGCGGCAACTGCAGGCGAAAGTGGATCGCCTGCAAAAAAGAGGTGTCGGCGCTGCACGCGCGCGTTGCCGAGCTCATGGCCCGGCCTGAGGGGACATCGGAAGGTCCAGCGTCGATGCCCGCCCCCTCCAACCTTGAGGAAATCATCCGCAAGGTCGTAATGGAGGAGAGGGCCTTCACCAGGGCCTGCTTCGCAGGAATAGAGGACCGGCTACTTCCGGAGAAGCGGCTTCGCCCTCCACTCGCGGCGGATAAGGTATCCGAGAGGACCCCTAGCGCACCGGGTCCTTCAACGGCCCCAGCCCAGCGGGAGTCCAAGGGCAAGGGAAAGGGTAAGGGGAAGAAAACCACCCCGGCCGCCCCGACTGCCCCGACGGTCCCTCAGGACCTTCCGAGGGAGGACCCACTGCTGCCCTCCACCACCCCTTCCAACCAGCCGTGGGTGAAGGTGGTGTCGAAGAAGCGGAAGGGGAAGAAGAAAGTGGCCCCCAAGCCTCCTGCAGCCAAACCTGCAGCCAAACCTGCAGCCGCAGCGGAGAAGAGGAAGAAACTCCCTCTTCCTCCGAAATCCGCAGCCGTAGTGGTCACGCTGACCCCTGAAGCAGCGGAGCGAGGGGAGACGTACGAGTCCGTACTACGACGGGCTCGCACTAACGTCGACCCTACGCAACTCGGGGCGGGCAGGGTCACGTACCGAAGGACCCAAACGGGGGCTCGTATCTTTGAGTTCTCCGGGGCTCAAGGCGGCACCAAGGCGGACCTCTTTGCCTCGAAATTGAGAGAGGCTGTCGCGGACACGGCCAAGGTCGTGAGGCCGGTCAAATGTGTGGCACTCGAGGTGACCGATCTCGACGACTCGGTCACGCAAGAAGAGGTGGTAGCCGCGGTTGCGGCGGTGGGAGGCTGCGCCGTCGAGTTGGTCAAGGGTCGCACCGTCAGACCAGGCCGCGGGGGTATGGGCACGATGCGTTTGGAGTGCCCCATCGCATGTGCCAAGGCAGTCCTCGCCAAGGGTCGCCTGCCAGTGGGGCTTAGCTCGGGTGGGGTCCGAGCGCTTGAGGACGAGCCGATGCGCTGTTTCAAGTGCTTCGGTATCGGCCACACCCGGGCTCTCTGTCCGTCATCTGCCGAGGAGCTCTGCTTCCGCTGCGGAAAAGAGGGTCACAGGTCGGCCACCTGCAAGGCAACAACTCCGCATTGCGTCGTGTGTGCGGCCAATGGTCGTCCAGCCGACCATGTGATGACGGGCAGGAAGTGCCGCCCACCCACAAAGAAGGGCAAAGTCCAGGCGCCACAGCGACCTGCCACTGCTGCCGCCGTCACTGAAACCCCAGTTCCAGTGCCGGCCTCCGAGGGAAGTGCCATGAATACCGACTAATGGCTGGACATCGTCGACGTGTTCTACAGGCAAACACCAACCACTGCAGAGCGGCCCAGGACCTCACCAGGGTGGCAGGTAGAGTCGCAGCGGCGGG